TTGATTTAACTATTATTTTGTGCATAGAGAATTTAGAAAAAACTACTATTACATTTATTTACATAATAAACTAAACAATAAATTCAAACTTAAATTAAGTCAATAACAAACACTAAAATGTTGAATTTTTAAACATTAAAATGATATTTATGCGTATATTGTTTTTAAATTTACCAGCATGTAATTATTTTTTTATATTAATTATTTTGCTTATTTATGTTTTTTTTTACAAAAACAAGAATACAATATTTGTCTAAAAAAGAAGAAATAACTTTGAAAGAATGATTTAAAAAAATTTTTCATTATTTTACACTTTATAACTTTGTGAAAAATTAAATCAAAATAATATTTTAATAATAAAGGTACATGATATCCTTTAGATTAATAGATTAACGGTGTAGGATAGATATGAAATTTGTTAAATACATTGGTATTTCAATTACATATAATTGATACACTTTAGTCATTGCTATCCATTTACCAATTATAAATTTTATAGACCCTCTTAATAAAAGTACAGACATTTTTTATTTATTCACTGTCAAAAATTAGCAATTATTATGTTAACAATATTTATATATATACAAAGATTTTTATGATAGTTACAGAAGCATAAGTACAATTCTATAAGAATGAAACTTGTAAGCTTAATTATAAAAAATGTAGTTAATATACATAAAAATATATAATAAATTTTACTTTTTTAAATATACCAATTATATACTAGTTTCGTTTTTCTCTGTTTCTTTTTTACCTATAAAATGTTTCTTATGATATCTAAATATTTATATTGTTCTTCTACTAATAAAAAATAGACGTATTTGGAATATTTAATAACAAATTAACTTCTAATCAAATACTTATGAAAGAAAAAACTTTAATTAGATTCCATTTACTTTTTAATATGCCGAGCAAACTCATTTGCATTTATAGTACATCCAATATTATAATATTAAATAATTTTTAATACTCTGCTTCCTTTACACTTAAAGATTTATCATATAATATTAATTATGTTACTAATTAATTAAAATTAAAAATACTTTAAAATTTTAATAACTTATTTATTCGTACATAGTTTATACTTCTACTACAAGATACAAATATATTTTCGATTATTTTGGCACATTTTATTACAAATAGATTTCTTTCGAATTTTATATAAATAATATAGTTGGAAATTGGATAAGTATAAATTCTTTGATTGCTACATAATAATAAATATAAATATACATAAATGAGATAAAACAAATATATAAATATTTTACATGATAATATAAAACAAAAGCATTGTTAACATCAAGTAAATTCAGATTTTTATGAATTAAAAATTTCTTTAAGACTTCATTAAATAAATTAAATAGCATATAAAATACTGCAATTCCACTTCTTATCGTCAACTACCAATGTTAAAATTAAAAAAAATGTATTACTTAAAGATGTTTACAATACTATTTTTTATAATATAAAGCATATAAATAGATAGATATCTTCACACATAGAAGTTAAATAATTTACAAATTAAAATGTAATAGTTTAATATCAGTGGTTCTTAATAATACTAGAAGCTAGAAATATAAAAATAATAGTGAAAACAAATAAGATAACAAATCAATATAAATAAGCTATTATTTAAAATAATAAATATAGCAAGTGTTAATTAAGCAAGTTAAAAATTAGATAAAGCTACTGTTAGAAACTTCTAAAGCACATTGTTTTATATCAAACATAGTAAATAGACTGAATATATATAAAAAGATAAAAATAAAGAGAGAGAGAGAGAGAGAGAAAGTGAAATAATCAAATTCTGTGGAATTATATTTGAAAAGTGGATAATATGGAAAACTACCGAACATTTTCTAAAATCTAAAACGTAACATTACCTGTTAAAACAGATTTTTATCTTATAGATTTATTCTAAATTCATTATTGCAAAAAAATTATATAACATCAAAATTATGTAGTTTATTATAATATTGAAAAAAATATAATTAATATTTATATATATACATAATGTGAGTAACTATTAAAAAAAAACATAAATATACTGTCTAAAGTTAGTAAAACCTTTTGATTATTTCAAAAGTAATAAATCTCTATTTAAAATTCTGGTAAAATATTTTGATTAGCATAAAATTAGTGCACTATGTGATAATCCTACGTTTGTACACAATTTCACTCTGACTGTTCTGTTTTTAAGCTTTCCATCTTCTTTCTCTGGCTTAGAACCATAGAAATGATGTCATTATACTTCGTAACTTTTTATGTCATTTCCACAGTTTTCTCGAAATGAGCAATTTATATGCTTTCTTAAAGAACTATCTGATTGTTACAATATCGTATTCCTACGACGACTAAAAGGAAGTTCATCGCTTTATTTGAAGGGATCATGACATTGTGATTGAGATATTAATGTTTCTTTATCATTCACATAAAATTGTTTAATATTGAAATATATAACAACTTCAAAGAATAATAGCAAAATGCTTTTAATTTCTTATAAACGATTTTTAAAAATCATATTTTTATTTTGTTTAGTATATTAAGATTGAGGCAATTGAATTGAATTTATAACTTTAGATAATTATCTTATATGTAACAATAATCACAGCTTAGTCTTATAATTGCTTTATATACAAATTTCACTTTATCCAATTTTAACCTAGAAGAGTTACCGGAAGCTCTCCTACAATTTCAGAGAGTACTAACAGTCTTTTTGCGCATTAGTTTAATATACCCTGATTCCAGCTCTCTATTAATTATTCCTCTTAAGTGTTTAGCTGTCTAAAATAATGTTTAAAAAATATTTGCTGAACTAAAACTCATATACCTTTTCTGACCTTGTATCTAGTTGTAAAATACAACATAGAAACATTGTTTTATTTAAATTAATTAAATATTCAATAAATTCCACCGCCTTTATCAGAAACTATATTTATATTATATATTTATAACAAAAATTCTATTAAATTATTTATATTAATTTTAAAAAGTTATAACAAAAATAAAGAACCCAATGCTCGTTTGGTTTAAAAATTAACTGACTATTGATTCCTACAAAGGTATGTAAAAGTTGTAGATGTAATTGTTTAATCGGTTACTTCAATAAAAGTACTGATGTAATTTTAATGTATATTTGATTTATGATAAAGATAAAAATGATTATTAACACCATCATATTTATAAAATAAACGGTCTTTTAAAGACTGCTTTTAAATAATTATGAAATATTGTACAATAATTTATAATTTGCATGAAATATATGAAAATTATACAGATTAATTTGTAAGTCATAAAACACTTATAATTAGTTTTAAAAACTTTCATTAATTTAAGAAACATAAACAATTATTAAAAAAAAATTATTAAATGTATTTTTATCGAAAATTAAAAGATTACATTTTATTTTATAGTACATAAATGATACTTTTATTTCAAATAGAATGAAGATATAATGAAAATACTTTATTACATTGCTTAAACTCATTAATTATTATAAGTGTATAAAAAATTTATTATGTAAATTTTCATTGTCTATTAATACATAATATTAGTACAAAAAACAAATTAAAAGAACGGTTTTCCTTTAATGTTTTTCATTCTCTCATATCTTATACTACAAAATAAGACTGTTACTTGTATAATATCTTTCCCAAGTAGAATAAAAGCTCAATCTCAGTTGAGGTAACAAATAATGCCATTCAACAGTATTTAATTGTGAACGTTAGTTGCTATTTTGTTGGGAAATCAAATAAATATATTGGACTAAATTTTATGTGTGTTGTTTTAATACCGATAATGCTAGAGCTCGTGACCAAACAGTATAATGGTTCATATGCAAAATGTATTTAAGCATCCATTTTATAACACCAAATTAACTATATATATGAATGTTCGTGCAAATTATGAAACAATTATGATAGTATATAATTTATAGATAATGATAACTTTTGTCATAAAATTCAGAAATATATTTTATAAAAAATATATAAAAAAACTTGTTTTCATATAGATAGAATTCTTTATTTCAGATAAATAAGGATTATAATACTAACGTTATAAAAATTAGCATATCTTAAATAAGTATTGGTTCAATATTTAAAAAGTTTTTTCAAAAATAAAATATATCAATCCCAACTTTCACTCTTAAAACAGCATAAACGTAGATGAGAAATCTTATTTATCTAATGCATACATATATTTAGTGGTACGTAAGTCTTTAAAAATACATTATAAATAAAGATATCATCATGTCTTATTTATGCCTCTAAATATCATTATTTTTAAAATATGCTATTTAAATAAATATTAAATAAAAACAAAGCTATTATAATATCTTTAAAAATATCTAATAAGTTATTTAAATTTGATGTCCTATATAACCAAAATTTATACAGTTGTATCAGTAAAAAATTAACAAGTGCTGATGGATGAAGTGTCGATGTCAAATATTATGGATTATATATTTCTTGACTAAAATGTGTAAAAGATGCAATAACATTGTAGACAGTGAAAACTTAATTTATTTTAATATTTTTGCTGCTATATATGATATACATTGGTTTTGTATGATTGTAAATATACAAGTAATTAAAAGAAAAAATGTAAGTTAAAATAAAGAGAATAAACTATAATGTAGCAAGAATATATTACGGAAAACAGGCAAAAATAAAAAGTATAAATATGTTATTTTTTATTAGAAATATAAATTTAAATTGATATAGAAAATATAAGAAATATATATTTCAATATTAAAAATGTAATTATAATAATTATTTATTAAAAACATCTATTTAAAATTTATTTGTAACTAACGTTCCTAAATATATTTAAATTCATCTAATAATGAATTATAGTTTTTATAGTAAATATACTGTATATTATACTGTACAGCTACAATTAATACTGATAAAACTTAAAAAAAATAAATCATCATCCTGTTTAACTCTTACGCCTATAATATCACAATTGTGGTTGCATATAAAGTATATATTGTTTACCTTACGAAGCATCTCTTCAAGGGACTCCATAACCAAAGCGGAGTTGTTATGCTCCGTAGTGATAGGTTGTACCATTTGACGGATATGTCGTCTCCCTGTTGATGAGAATTTACACAACACTAACAAATAACAATTCCCTTCTACAGTAATATGTTTGATAAATTGATAAACGTTCGTCTGTGATTATTATTTTTTGCTAATTTAAAATTTGTTTATATTATGTTTTGATGCAAACATTAATATTCTTCCACGAACTTACTCAAGTCCATAAAAATATTCACTCTCTTATTTAAGAACAATAATATTGAAACTGGTAGATATATGAAGAATAGCCGAATAAACATATTAGAAAGATTCTTAAATCTTCATCAAGTGTATTATTAAATTCGGCAATTTAAATGAAGATTCAGATATATGTGTCTATACTTATTTAATTAATTAATTGGCAATGTGTTTTTTTTTAAGAATGAATTAATATGTAAATAAATAACTGTACGTGATTTCTTATTTCAAGGCTGTATTAAATACAAGAGTATTATATTCAATATTTCGTAATTCAATATGATTTAATGATTTCAATATTAATAATTCATTAATTAGCAATTGATAAAACTTGAAAAGATAAATCATTAAAGTAAAACGTATATATATTCTGAAGATAAAATACTAGTTTAGTGAAATAATATATTTCTTAAATAAATAATTAAAAAAGTCAACAAACTGAAATAAAGATAGACACTAAAGATAAATGGTATACTACAAGTATAGTTGAAAAGGCAACTTATCCGTTCTTGGACACCGTGTAATTTATACAGTTGGTTAAAATAGTCTTTCTCTATTAAAATGAAAGCTATGTGAACACACAGCAGAGAATCTTGAAAAGCAGAACAGGAAGAGTGAGATTAAAGAAAAGTAATAGAAAGAGATAGATATAAAAGAATGAGAAAAAACAATTGATTTTCTTTCATAATTTTTTGTTCTTATAGCTCTATGTAAAAAAGATACGGCATACTGAAAGCTACACTATTTATTGTATTTCTAAATATATTTCTAAATATATTTGTACATAAAGTATCTGGATATTGAGAATACATGTGAGCTATATTATGATAGACAAATAAATCCCCAAAAATTAAAAATTCATTATCGTTATAAGGCTATTAACGATAATTTAAACAACAAATGAAATGAACGATAACAAAGATCTTGCTAATTTCAAAAAATATTTCAATTTTTACTGTATTATTTATAATGTTTAATGAGATATTATAAAACCATTAATTATTCCTATTGTCTTTATAAAAAATATTACGATTAATTTATTAATTGGCTTCGTTTTATTTGTTTTCGTTATTGTTTAACTTACAAACATTTTAATGCATTACATAATTTTAATGTATTTTCAAGTTTAAAATTATTGAAAAATGTTTTTCATTACTGATAAATAGTAAAAATTGATAAGTAGAAGTTTACTATTATTATTTGATTAATTATACAGTAACATACAATGTACAGTGCTGTCTCTAAGTAATAAAATATACGGGAAATATTGCTGTCTAATTATTCATTGATTTTTACTAATTTTACTTGTAAATTCTTTTTCTTCAAATTTTTATTAAATAAAAATTTTAATTTATCGATTCAAATTGAGTAAAGATCTTAATATCGTGGACATATGTATGCATACATATTGTTTAATAATTAAAATTTTTAAATCGAATCAATTTTATTACCTCCTTAAACTGTTTTTCGTTAGAATATATTTTAATAGTACAAATCTTAATGCTCTTTATTGCCATTTACATAATTGGTACATTATTAATATATTTTTATGGTAATATAATAATGATGAGATTATTTATTTGATTAATTTATAATTTACTAACATAATATTTATAAATATGTGAAATTTTTTTAAATATTTATGAATAACATCTAATTTCAACTCTATTTTTTAGCAATCTGCAAAATAATAACCTTGAAAATCTTTAAATCTCTCTTCAATTAAAGTGTTCAATTCAATAAATTCATGTAAACTTTATCATTATCATTATAACTGTGTCTATCGACAAATACAAAACAGTACAGAGTTTTTGGTATCTACGAGTTGTTTCTACAAACTACATTTAATTAAAATCATGTAATGGAAAATAATATATACAAAAAAAAAAAACAATAATTTATTATTTTTACTACTTTATTACTTGTGTTTGACAATTTTCAGTAATTTTGAAAGTAAAAATTATATTTTATGATAATTTTCTACCTTCGAAGAATAAAGTATAAATATAAATTGATCTTATTATACGATTCATAATAAAGTGAAATTAATATACAGAAATATTATAATTTATGCAATATATTTTACTACTTGAAATTATATTTTGCTGCTGTATCCAGCAAGTAAACTTAGTAATCATAAAAGATTGTTTAATAGATAAAATATTATAATCACTAAAAGCATATGACCATAATTGAAAAGTATAAAAATGTAATAAAAAAGTCATCGATTTTTGGAGAGTTCATATGTAGAAAAAAGAGTCAAAGTAAGAGATATAACAGCTAGGATGCAAGATCCGCTAACAAATGCAAGAATGGAGGAGAAGCACAGCCCTGGGAAATAAAGAAGAAAAAGTAGAGACGAGTCCACAAAGCGGTGAATCAAAGAAGAGAGATATATAGATAGAGAAAGAGGGAAAGAACATCGCGCGGGCGTCGACGCTATACTATTTCCAGTGCGAGTATTTTTATGGCGTACTCAGCTTGGTGAGACTTAAATGCTGCTCACGAAGACGACGACGCCTCTCTTCGCTTTCCCCAAAAAAGAAAACTAAAATAATTGTATGCGAATGACTCGCCCTCGCTTTACCAAAATAACAAGCTCTTTTCAAGTCCTATTCTATAGTAATTTCTCAGTAATTTGTTATATCGAACAATAACAAGTTATATATATATATATATATATATATATATAAATGTCTTCGTTTCAGCTGTATATTCATCTTTTAAATAAGAAGAAAATAATATTACGGAGTTACTCATAAGGTTTGCTTTCTTTCTCAATTTATTTTTTTTTTGACAAGCTACATCGCGAAAAAAGATGTTTCCGGTTTCGTCTCATGTCACGACCAAGAAAGATGCGCACTGCGCGATAGACTACGAACACATGAAAAATAAGATGACGTCCGTTTATTTTTATACATACTAAGTCATCAGTTGCCCTTTTCAAATATCCATTCACTCTTTCTTCGTCCCTTCATTCATTAAATTTTAATTTTATATTATTTCAATGGTTTTTATAATATTCCATATGATATTATTTTTTAAATAAGATGCTATTAAATCGTACTTAATATTACGTTTAATACTTGGTTAACGTTAAATTTATCCTTGAGAAATAGTACGTGAAATATTACAAGTTTAATTAATAAAAAAATTAATACTTTTGTAATATTACATAAATTAAAAGCATTGTTCTATTCTATATAAAAAATATAAAATATTTTTATAATAACTTATAATTTGTAAAATCCTGAACTTTTCCAGTTTTAGTTATTGAACGATTATTTGAAATTTTAAAAAATTGAATTATATTTTTAATCAAAAGTAATATTAATTTACAATTCTATATAAATTATAATTATTAATGTAAATATTAAAATCATTAAGAATGTATTAATAAAATGCATAAAAACTCATAAGAAAAATATTACAGTTCCACAAATTTTTTATACTTATTATTGTTGAAAAATTATTTTTTAATAATTATTATCATAGCCCTATTAAATAATAGATATTATAATTCATACTATTCAAGGTATTTTTATGAAAGATGTAAATGTATGAAAGATCTTTAATAAAACATATTTAAATTTTTTGTGTATTTATTAATTACTCTTTCTATAAACTATTTATGTTAAAAAAAGACGATTGTTATATATTGTAATATACGATTATAATTAAATGGATTTAATGATATTTGTATAATCAAAATATCTGTATAATCTATATTATAACATAACTATTATAAATTTCATAATATTCACAGCTAAATTAATATTATATAAAAGTAGAATGCTTTATAATATTTATAAAAAAAGAACAAAAATTAATTAAAAAAAATTTATGATAATTCAGAAAAATGATGTTTTATAATTTTTATTATATATAATTACAAATAAAAACCGAGAAGATAATCAACATCATTGATATTTTTCATTAATAAAGTATTTAATATATTGTGTAAATGAAGTATGTAAACATAATTATATAATTTATGTATATTGCTCTACGTAATAAACACATCAATGTTTTCACTGATCCATATGTAAGATAGAGCAGTATTTTCATATTTCATATATATTATTTAAAGATAATTTCAATAAATATCATAAACAAATTTAATTCTGAACACAATTCCCTATCAAACAGTTGTCTCTTTCGAAAACATAATATTAACATAATAATACTAAAATAATAGAGTCTAATAAAATGCAAGTTTCATAAGAAATTCTTATCTTTATAAAAATATAAACTAGAATATTATTCAAAAATAAAAACAAAAATTAAAAATATTAAAAATTTTACTAACATAAATTATTTATTTTGCTATTAAAATCACTAATAAAATAACCAACTATCCTCTTATTCCTCTATGAAAGAAGGTATAAAATTGTTTTTTTATCTGGTGGAATTTTATGCAACGGACTAAATTACATGTTTTATTTGCATATATATTATTTAATTTGTTAGTTTCAAGCAAATATTATTTACAATGATACGAATGGATTTACGTGAATGAAATTGGAATGAAAAATGAAATTTTAATGGCATTCCTAAATTATGAATCGCAAAATTTTCGTAATGTATTTTAGAAATTATTTTTAGATTTTAATATTATAATAGTTGTATCAAGTACAAGAAATAATTAATATCAGAAATTAATAAATTTAATTAATATATTGTCATTTTATAAAATATTAACTTAAAGCGGTTAAATTTTTAAAAGAATAATCAAATTATATCTTTATA